TTTATTAGGTACCTGATTCTCTTACCTTTGGTACGTGCAGGAGCAGGAGATTCACACCAGAAATGTGCAGCTGATAAATCTGCAGCATCTGTGTGACGCTATCATGTCAATGTGGATCAGAATCAATGTTTCCAGCACCTTGGGAAAAAGTGGCTGGTGAGTGCATGTTACATTATACCCAGCTAGAAGTACACAACGTGTTAAAAAATAAAATAAAGTGTAACGCAGGCCCGCAGTGATCTTCTAGAAAAAGTTTTTATACGATTCCTACAGAAACTTTTCCTCTAAACCGAGCCGTTAGAGGTTCCTCAGAGAACCCTCTCTTAGGTTCAGAGCAGATATTTGATTAAACTCAGCTTCAAGTTGTTTCCTGTAGCGTCTCCTCAGTATTTTAACCTCATCAATCAGTAAGTTACAGATGCCACAGTCCTGCTCACGTAGCCTGAGGATAAACGGTGCTTTGAAATAAAAATTGCATCACGTTCAAGTTGAGGCCTCTCACACCTCGTTTTTACTTGAAACTACAGCAGAGTTACGGTTAAAGGGACTTAATAAGAAGTTAGAAGCTTAGTGCTGAAGAACGAGACTGGGGTGACGATGGATCCTGTTAACTTGGATCTGCTGCAGAAACTGGATGGACTACAAATACTAATCATAGGTCCTTCACCTCCTGTTCTTCTCGTGAACCACCAGTGGAAAATACGAGTCCATTTCACGTGTTTGTGAGAGGTGAAATGGACAGAGAAGCAACACCTTGTGGAATCTGTGCGAATGATTGTAGATGTGAAGAGAAAAGGGGGTCAAGCCGGTACCAGCAAGGTGTGCCTAATTAAGTGTCCAAGTATATCACATAGAACAGCCTGCCACTGAAGTTTCAAGTCAGAAGGTCGTGTCCTGAACAGCGTGATGGTCTCCTCTCATTTCCTCTCATGAAGGATGCTTCAGGGTCTTCCTCAGAAAACCCAGCTGTTGGTCTCCAGTCTGTCACTTTCTGACAGCTATGACGTCGTTCATTTCTCCTCAGGGTTTCACCAAGTTCTTTCACAACATCAGGTGTTTTTCACAGCAACCTCACACGGTTTCAAGTGTTAGTCAGAGCTGTTCAGACCACTAACAGGCGGCGCCGTTTCTCTGAATCACAAGCATCCACAGGAAAACATGCTGGAGCTGCTCAGAAGCTCCAAGTTCAGCTTCAGAGCTTCTCACTCTGAAGTAAAATGAGAAAGCACTTATTTATCACCTGTTCGTGGTGGAGCTAATATTTTCCATCCAGCGTTTTTTTTTCTTTTACATAAAACAACAAACGAATGAACAAACAATCCGCTCCTCTCGATCCGCACGCAGCAGTGCACATCCCAGTTCCTGTTTATTTCCTGAGATTCTGATCTCAGCTTGTACAGTTTTAATGAATGAAAAGTTGTTTGGGACCAAAGCTGTTACATTTTTAACTTTGAGTTGGGTTTAGTTGCAGTTACATTCCAGAGTGTTTCTTTTCTTTTCAGTTTACTTTTAGCGTTTTAGTATTTTTATTATTAGTGGCAGGGGCAGATGCAAGACGTTCAGGACAGATAAAGTACAAATATAACATTTGCAGCCTGGCAGTGTTGGAATGAAACATAATGTCCCAGAGGTGTTCTGTTAGATTTATGTCATGCAAGCGTGGGGGTGAGTCGGTGGTGTCAGTTCCTTCAAACTCCAGGAACTGCCTGCGCACTCCTGCCACATGATGAAATTTCTGAAGTGTTTCTTACAAGTTTACCCTTCCCTCTCCTCAGATGTATTTATTCACCTTCTGAGCCTCTAAACTTTTATTGGGGCTCTGCAGCCCCCTGGTGGTCTGTTGAGTTACTGCAGGAACACCACCTTTGAGACCCCTTCCAAAGGATCTACTGCCAGCATTACAGTGCCAGATGCCACAGGACACCCCCAGAGGTCCTATGTCTGTGCCACACCATACCTGGAAAATGCCCCACACCTCCCCCACAGTGTAACTGAGCCACCAGATACCCTCACTGTAAGAGTCAGATCTGTCAAAGGGGCCCAGAGGCCAGTACATAGGAGTGGACCCAAGCAAAGACACCAAACAGAAACAGTGATTTACAAGTTTATAATAAACACAAAGATAGCAATGAAGGCACTCAAACAGAGGGCGAGTGTAGTTAGACTTGGGAGGAAGGAGTGAATACCAGGAGGTGAGAGGAATATTGATCTCGGGGGCTCACTGATGGAGGTAGAGGTCATGAAGCCTTGGGGAGGAGAACTAAATGAGCGTCTGAAAGGTGAGTGGGTGAATGAGGTGCCAGCCTTATCTTCCTGATGATCCACAGGCGGGGGAAATGGTATGTAGTTTTGATTCCGAGGATTAGACTGCAGAGAAGTGAGGAGAATCTTGCCAATATGACCAGCGTCCAGGTAATTAAGCTGCAGGTGAGCAAAGCGTTGGTGCAAAGCATAAGCAAGAGCACAAGAAGCGCTGAGGCCTGGTTATCACCATGAGGGAGCTGACTGACTGGTGGAGAAGGCAGTGCTGGTCTCCTAAAGTGCCTCAGTGATGTCAGGTGAGTAAGGTAAGGTGAGGAACTGAGAAGGCTGACACAGGTAAACACCGGCAGGCAGCGGAGAAACACCAGAAGCTCACTCGGATCCTAACAGGCTGAGGGTTTTCCGTTAAATTGTCACCTGTCCACATGTGAAAACGTTGCTAAAAACAAGCCGACGCTCAAGCGTCAGGCTGTAAATCTGACACTGTCAAAGCTAAAATGCTAATGTTGAGGCTTCAAAATGCAGAGACAGCAATAGTGACTACATCAATATTTAAGGTCGAGTCTGCAGACACAGATACTGTCCTGTCTGCCTCCACTCTCCCCCTCTGCACATGTCTGAACCATCTCAGCCTCAAGAACTTTGACTACAGATGCCACCACCTTACAGTCTCCTATCACTTTCAGACCGCACACTCTGCATAAGATATACTACACCTGGGTGCACCTTCTTCCACTCTTATACCACTCATAGTCCTTAGATCTAGATCTCCTCCACCACCCTTTCTTCTCTCTCGCTGCCTTCTAACATGACTTCCCCCTTTCCTCTTCCTTTGTTTTGGGCTAACAGTAGCACAGTTTTCCAATGAAAATGAATTCCTAATTCTAACCCTCCTAAACTTAACCTAATTGTAACCCTGACATTAAACCACATTTTGAGCCTCAAAATGCATTTTATCCCCATAAATGACTGTTGGTCATCTACTAGAAGGTTAGTCATCATGTCCTAACCAGTGAGAAACATTTGCTCAAAATAATTATTTTCTAAAAGCAGTTATCTTTTTAATATTAAAAACGTAGGTCACTAATTCAGTTTTCCATACTTGTGTTTATAGTGAGTGAATTATATTGATGGGGTGTGGTTCGGTCATGCAGGAGAACTTCAAGCCTTGCACTAGTTTCTCCTCCCTGAAGCTTTTTCCAGCTGCAGGTTTGGTGCTGACAGTTTCAGGTTAAACCACAGATCACTCAATCTTCACGAGAAATGTGGCGTCTGGGATGTGAATTAATCTGAGAGACTCCTCCAGGAACACGGTTACATGGTTAAAATGATGCGAGACACAGAGGGTAAGTAGAAGAGGGAGAAAAAGCGACGGGGAAGGAAGAGAAGAGGTGAGAAAGATATGAAGGGAAGAAAGGAGTTAAAAAGAAGGAGAAGTGAAAGAGAGGGGGAGGATAAGAGGAAAGGAAGGAAGGAGGAAAGGAGAGAGGGCACAGGGGGAGAAGAGCGAGGGGACAAGGAGGAAAGTCAGAGAGAGAGGGAGGTAGAGATGTAGAGGGGAGGAATGGCAATCGGGGGGCGTGGTATTTGTCGTGACGTCACACAGAGCGGCAGCTTCTCCTTTTAAAGCCGCTGGTCCCTGACGGACTGACAGACTTTAAATACCGACTCCGCCGGGATCTCTGACAGCTCTGCGCAGCGGGACGCACTCTCCTCGGTCCGGACGCGCTCTTCCTCCTCGGATGGAGCTGCTGCTGCAATTCCTCCACAGTCTGCATCGCCGCCGGGACTGAAGTCGTGAGCAGCTCCGGTTCTTTTTTCTTTTTTGATTATTTTTTAGGGGAATAATAGGACTGTTCTCGGTTCCGCCGTCCTCTCTGTCTTCCAGCAGGCCGCCGTCTCCTCCGTGACTCTCTGTTCCCATGCGATTCTTCAGACTCACATTCAAGTGTTTCGTGGATTGTTTTTGAGGTCTCTGTCCGATCGTCGGTGTAATTCCCTTTCTTTTATTTCTATTCTTATTTTATTTTTCAAATTAAACCCCTGTAATTCTGAGAACCCCCACCCCCCCCCCCATTTTTTTTAAACAATAGACTTTCTGGATTTGTGACCTCTTTTTAAAAAAATTAAAATAAAATAAAAACATTATTAAATCATCTGAAAAAGAGCTGGCGTCATAAATAAAAGACCACAGTCTGGATCCTCGGCGGCACAGAGGAAGAATCACGTTTCTTCTGGTTGTGAGTGAGGAAGAGTGAGAGGGGCCGAGGATAAAGGTCCTGACCCGCTGTCTCTGAGTGACTGTTGGTCTGTAACTGGCAGCTGGCTGGTTTAGTGGAAGTCTGAGAGGAGGTGAACACGAGGTGTGGAAAACTGAGACTGTGAGACTAAAAGGAGAAGAATAACTCAGTCTTTAAAGAGACAAAACCTTCAAAATAAAAGCACGCTGAGGTGGACTGGTGTTTTACTGGTTTATGTGGTACCTGACTGGTTGCTTGGATTTGAGTTTTGGGGACTTCTAAAAATACAAAAAGCCAAATTAAAGGGAAAACACCACCCAGCCTTTGCTGACTGGTATCTGACTGCTTTTTGGACTGAGAAACTGACTTTAAGGATTATAATCTGCAGGAATTAAAACACTCTAAAGTGGGAATCACAGCTGATTATTCCTTCTGGTATCTAACTGGTGTCTGGGTTTAGGAGTGATTTAAAAAGACTGAAATCTGAAGAAAATAAAGGGATTCTAAGTGGGAACCATTGCTGACTATTCCTACTGGTCTGACTGCTAACCTGAGTGGGAACTGTGGGGAAACACCTGAACAGAAATAAGAGCTATTGCAGACAAAACCTGCAGGAATTAAAGGGGATACAGAGGCTGACTATTTGGAGCACTTCCTGACTGGTTCCCATTCTGTGAATGATGGAGAAGCAGGCTCTTCCAGCCTCCTCCTGCTCTCTGGTTCTCCTGGAGGAGACCAAAAAGAGCCCCATAACTCTCTCTAATGGGGGCAGTGGCAGTAGTTATGCCCCTGCGGCTGCTAATGGCAGCCTCGTCCCGCTGACAGTGGGGGGGACAGGCATCGCTGGTGGAGTGGTGGGCACTGCTTGTGTTGGACAGGACAAAAAAGGTGGTGTGGTCAACGGAGCGGGGCCTGGTTACCAGGAGCGGGAAACCTGGACGCGACAGATGGACTTCATCATGTCCTGCGTGGGCTTTGCTGTAGGACTCGGAAACGTGTGGCGGTTCCCCTACCTGTGCTACAAGAACGGAGGAGGTGAGATGCACCACACACACACGCCTGTACGGGGCATGTGCACATCCTCACTTTACCTAATGGTTTCTGCAAGATTGCTGTGAGACAACCAGTGAGACAGACACTTTTTTACTGGTATCCACAAGCACAGATTCTTAGATTTGTGCTTGTGGATACAAACTGTCCAGTTTTCGTGCTCTTGGATGTGAACGGGAACGCTTATTTTAATTTTATAAGCAGATCTTTTCCACAGCTTCACGTTTGTGTACATGGGTGTGAAGATTTTCCACTTTTAAAAGTTCACATTCGAAGGCTGGACACCACCAGACACATTTTTAGGGATTAAAACACACATGCTGCATGTTTGAAGCTGTACAAAGAAGATAAATAATAGCTTAAGAGAAAAATGAAAGCTTTAAAGTCTTTTCACTTTAGAAATGAGGTGGGCCAGCATTATCCCACTCCCCAAAATGACTCATCCTCTGTGTTTGTGCTGATGTCAGAGAACATCCAGAACTTTATCCTCCTCACAGGTCAGTGTAGGTTTCAGTTCACCTTCAGGTGAGTCCAGGACAGAACAGGAAGTTCAGTCTAACTGTGGCGTGGCGCTGGAGCTGAAAAACATCAAAAATAAAAAAAATAAACTTTTCCTTTCCGAACTTTTCCTTATGTCAGTCAAACCAGCTGTTTGAATCTCAGATTATTTTACTGAATAATTAAATTTGTAGCTGATGGGGGAGGAGCTAAAATACCAGGGGGCGTGGTTTGCTGTAGAGGGGCTTGGACTCAGTTTCTCAGTGACATAATTGGCTGCATGTGTTTGGATGGTGGCAGCGACATGTGTGTTATTGATCAGAGTGACAGCAGCAGGTTCAGCCGATCAGCTTCCAGCACAGTAACGTGTGTGTGTGTGTGTGTGTGTGTGTGTGTGTGTGTGTGTGTGTGTGTGTCAGAGAAAAGAACCACAGCAGGCGTAGAGAGGGAGATACTGTTACTGCACGTGATGCCTTTTACCATATATAATACAACTGTGTGTGTGAGTGTCTCGAGTTAACTGACTTTTATTGAGCCTGATGCTCCTGCACGCTGCTGCAGGGTACATTGTAAACGTGAGGCTGGGCATGCACGCCTGCGTGCACGTTGTCACCTTCTCTCCAGTTTGAAGGGGCTCAGTGAAATGTAGGAAAGCAAGACTTATATTCAAAGGAACTTTATTTCAAAAGAAAGGAATTAGCATCACAGGAGAAATGATTCAAAAACATGGATAAACACAGGAATCTCCAAGCCTCACATCCAGTGGTGGTTACAGTTACACATCTGCACTGGTATTTAAATACCAGGACTGTCTGTCGATAATCTTAAAAGAAATCTAGTTGCTTTGAGCTCAGGCGCTTTAAAATTCAGCAAATCCTCAAATTTTAGACGCATTAATCAATAATCTAAACGTATATCAATAAAGTCACAAAAACGTTTGTAAAGCTTCGTTTTCTGTTTTGTTTGATCATAGATTTATAAATTGATTACAATTGATTACTTTATTTTTAAGTCACTCCAAACTGACTTCTTTTGGGCTCGTTGGACACTTACAGATGTGGTTTTAGGCGTTTTTCTCCCAGTTTAATTAAAAACTATTTAATTCAAATGAAGCTTTTTGGGAGTAGAGGAGGTGTCAGCAGGTGGATTCATCACCTCTGTTTGTTCTGTCAAAGCTGAACTTTAGCAGCAGAGAAAGAAAGGAGAAAAAAGTTGGATCCTTTCACCTGCAAAGGTCTCGTTCACACAGTCGACCAGTCTGAGCTGGACAGAGAGGAGGAGAGACGGGAAAGGTCTGAATGTTCGCAGAGAGGAGGAGGAAGAGGAGGAGGTCAGGCTTAAATCACAGAGAGCGAAGAGAAGAAGTTCAGCTCTCACATTGCAGACCGTCGTCATGTGACTCTGTAAAGGTCACCTGCTTCACATCTGAAACCAAAGTTAAAGGATCATTCTGGCGCTTTTTCAGCCTTGTCAGCAGCCTCAGTTATTGCCTTCGTCTTTGAGAGACGTGTGTTAACAACTGTTTAATGGAAGCCACAGGGTTCAACAGAAGACTGTAAAAGCTGTGTAATGATTAAAAACACCAGGTAGAACATCTCAGAGCTGATTAGGTTAATTAGTAACATGACTGTTAATGAAAAAAAGCATTCCAGAGACACTCTAAGCAGGACCTGTTAGGTTTTTATTTCCAGCTCATTTTAACTGCTAGAGTAGCTTTGTGTGACTCACTGCTCAAAATCATCCTTCTTTGCCTTATACTGGTCCTTGTCACACTCCCTGGTTTAGCTCCTCTCCCTTTTAGGCTAACTTTCTTTCTTCTGACTTTTGCAATCAGGAAACGAGAGAAAATGGCAAACAATAGCTTAAAAAGGGAATGTGCGAGTCTAAGAAGACTGTCAAAAAGACCATGAAACCAAATGTTGTTCAGCGAGTCAGCAGAGAAAGATAAATTACATTCATTTGTCCTAAGAAAACACAAAAAGCCAAACCTGTCACCTCCATAAACGGTTTATTTTGTAGGATGCATTAAAATTTCAGATGACGTCTCCACATTTAGTTTGTTTCACTCTGTGTGTAAACCTGGTGACTTTGTGCACCTTCAGCTGATTATTGTAATTTGCATGCAAATCACGGTGTAGCATTTCATATCAGAACACGAGGTAAACGCGCTGCACACACGCTCCATCGCGTTTGGTCTGAACGCATCATTCCTGTGTTTAGTCGCTGACTCTGATTTAAGATGTGAAATCAGCACTTTATGCACACGTTGCACCTCTGAGACGTCCCCATCAGGCGGACATGTGATCAGTGTTGAAGCCGAATCTTAAAAACTGTAAAGACCTGATTTTCCTAAAGGTTGTTTTCTCCACAAGAAGGGAGGGGCCATGCAATCACTTCTGTCTGCTCGTTTGTTCGTTCACAGTCTAACATCCACAGTTTTCAAGATATCACGGTTAAATTTTCTATGAGCTATCAATAACAGCTCGAGCAGATTTAATTTAGGTGTAAATCTGGTCAAGGCCAACATAAAACTTTATATTACCCATAATGTTTTATGGATCATCTTCAAACTTCACAACAAGACCTCGGGAGGCGATTTTGCAAACATCCCACACTGCATGAACAGACAATAAAATGTCAAGTTTTTACAGTTTATAGAAGGATTTTAGCCAATTCTGCTTCAATCATATAGGTAATAATAATAAAATAAAGTTTCATGGTTCACATGAATTAGGAAACAGCTTTAGTTTCTATTGGATCATCTCGAAACTTTAAATCAATACATCAGCCATTGATCGGCATAAACGCTTTCTTTGATCAGATTATTTTTTTTAACCCTTGTAATGTCCTCGGGATTCCCATACACTTGTTTGCCATACACCTGGGGTCATTTTTGACCTGAGGACACACAAGGGTATACACCATTATAAGACACAAAAAGATTAACGTGCTACACTAGATTCCATTTTACCGATGCTGACATCGGCCCTCGCCATTCACGCTCTCTTAGTGCTCTTGTGTCGTTTCTGTAAACCGGACGGTCTTGTAATGTTATTGCATATTCACGATCAATCAGCCGAATCGCTCATTGTTGTAACTTGTCTATGGGAAAATGCGCACATGCAGTATTTTGTGTTAGTGCGTGACACTCCCTGCAAACATGTGCAGCTCTCCTTTTTTTGTTTAAAATATTTGTTGCTGTTTATTCCTCCTGTTAATCTTTAACAGTATCTGGTTAAATTATTCATTCAGCTTTACAGTCTGGTCTGTAGTTGTTTTATCAATTTTTCCGCTTTATTCTTTTAAAGCTGTTCTGAGGAAGAAGATTAAATATTCATAACTGATCTCGTCTCGATTTGCTGTTGCGTAGACTAAGCTGTAGACTAAGGCCAGGTTTTTGTAGCTACAGTATCCGGACGACCCATAAACGTGTCTCATGCAGACAAACGCAAAGTTCCTGTTTCAAAAAGAGGTCGGCTAAAAAGACACTTGCTGACGTGCAGAACCTGCAGAATCGCTCATCCAGGAAGCTAACACACACGTTATGAATTAAATATTCCCAAATATCTTTGTGAGATACGTGTTTGAGTTTTACATCAGACAGACAAAATTTTATAAAACAATTGTTCGGCTAGCCTTTGGTTTTTTTTTTTAAAAAACACTGCTTCAAGATCTTGTTGTAGAGGGTTGAGGTTAGCTAGAGTTAGGTCAGTTTAAGATGACTGAAGGTGAAATGAGGTGAATCTTGGATGTTAAGAGGCTTGGCAAAGAATTAAATAGAATTTCTAGTACAGATAACGGTCACATGAGAAACTTTTAGCAAAAATGAGAAAACTCCTCATCCGAACGACCTCAAATATGGTAGTGAGCTCACCCTCGTCCCCAGAGAGAAACCTGCCAAGTTTAAAGTGGATCAGATGAACGGTCATCGAGTTAGACAAAAAGGGACAAATGGCAGTTTCCTCCATTATCAGTAAGGGAAAGTTTCTATATGTTAAATAAAAATGTTTTGGAGGCTACTTTCTACTTTTATCTGAGTAAATGTTGACACAGACGTGTTTTACATCCTTCCTTTCACTCCTCCTTTGTGTCCTTCCCTCATTCCCTCTGTCCTCTATCCTTTTCTGTCCTTTCTGTCTTCGTTGTCCAATAAATCCGAGTCACTTAGATTTATTATCCTGCAGAGCGTGTTCATGCTGCAGTCACCCTACCAAGGACA